CACATACAGGGCATTAGAAAAGTACCTACGGGAAAAGGGGGCTGGAAATGTCCTTTAGGGTAAAATAACGGATGATGCTAGGTCCCTGAGGAGATAAGAAGGGATGGGGTCATTCCTTCTTGTTAGGAAGGAGACTAAGTAAAGGGATTAGCCTCATCAGAAATGATGTGTGCCATTCTTCAGAAAGAAAGTGAAATTGAGTCGGGGTGGGTATGATGAAAATAGGTAGGTTGTGAAGGGAAAAGTAAGGAGCTTGATGAACTAGCTTCATGTGCTCAGTAAAGTGTGAGAAAGCCATTCTTCTGCGGGGCAAGAGTGGAGTCTTGAGAGAGTAACAGAACAGAACAGAATAGCCACTTTGTTCAACAATTAAGTCTTAGCAATAGCAGGCTACTAACGAATGAGTAAAAGGTTGAACACAAACGCCTTACCCAGTCATGCTTTACCAAACCCAAGGATGCATCAATAAGTGTAGCTACACTGTCCCAGCTGTTTCCAAAGGAAAAAATCTGATCAGGCACTTCACAGTACATCATTTTAAGGGAATCTTTTACTTAAAATATATGAAAGCACTCAAAGAAAGTTGAGTGTTTGTATTTTTATTACAACATGGTCTCTCCCTCATGCCTCTTATATTTTGCTGTGTCTCTTCACATAAAGAAATGCAAAAGACTGAAACATTTCTTAAAAACAGGGTCATGTCTTACTCAATTCTGTATCAATTTATATGGCCTTGCAAAATACTTTGCACAAAGAAGGCATCTGAATAGTTTTAATACTGAATTAAATAAGAGGTGTACAAGTCCCTCAGACACTATAGATTTGGGGAGGGGAATTTATAAATCTTTTTTTTTTTAATATATTTTATTGATTTTTTTACAGAGAGGAGGGGAGAGGGATAGAGAGTTAGCAACATCAATGAGAGAGAAACACTGATCAGCTGCCTCTTGCATGCCCCCTACTGGGGATGTGCCCGCAACCAAAGTACATGCCCTTGACCAGAATCGAACCTGGGACCCTTGAGTCCGTAGGCCGACGCTCTATCCACTGAGCCAAACCCGTTAGGGCTATAAATCTTTTTTAAGTAACATAAACGTGACTTCTATGAAGGAGGGATGAGCAATAGAAAAGAGAAAATGGGAAAGAGAGATGGGAATTACTCCAAAATGTTCATTGATAACAATTCACTGAACAAACATTTCACAAGACCTTTCAACTTACAAGGCCTTGACAACAGGAAGTGTGCAAAATTTGTAAGGGCTGGATCTGTAGAAAAAATAAAGGATGTTTTCAACCTTCTGAGCCCTTAGCCTTCCATTAATGTGGGTACAAATTATGTCTGAGCACTATCTTCAAAAGACATTTAACTTCTATAGCACTTATTTTCCTTCCAATCTGTAAAAAAAGTCCTATATAATAAAAGGGTAATATGCAAATTGACCCTAACGGCCTCTAGTATAATATAAATGGAGCCACTTTAAAATGGAGTCAGAGCTACCACCATCCAGAGGAACTGCCTTGCACATCTTACTCCTCAAACCTCTGGAATGTTAAAACTGCAAAATAACCTTTGGAGTGAGCCTAAAGCAACATGACACCCTCAACAACTATTTGCAAAGATAACAAGAAAGCATATATTATAACTACTGGACTGAAAATTAAACATTCTTTAGAATTAGTATCACTATGTTAGCTTATCTGCACCTACAGAATGTCTTCCCTCTACTGACATAATTGCTGTAATTGTTATCCTTTCCCTTGCCTTCCTTATCTGGAACTATTTGGGTTTCTGCCTGAATCAGTGCTTCCCAAATAGCTCTTCTTTTGGATCTCAAAAAAATGCTTACTGAACCTCACTTTGATTTTTAGGTTAACAAATCTCAAGAACCTATTGATTCTCTACACTTGAAGACCTTCCATAGAACTAAGGGTCTAACTATTAAAAGCAAAAGGTAAACATATCCATTGGGAACACTCAAGGCAATGATTTTATCATCCTTTTTCAGTGGCCACTCTTTTTCCCTCTGGGGGCCAACAAGAGTAGGGTTAAACTACAGAGTCTATGACATGTATGCTAAACAGACCTGAAGAGCAGCCAGGAAAAGCCGCCCCTCTGAGCCTCCACCTCAGGAGCATTCAGGGAAAGGACAAGTGAGGACCGTCCAGGGCTCTGTTTTCAGAGACAAGCCAGAATCCTTACGGGGGAGTCTCAACTTAGGTCCTTGACCAAGCTAGGCAGAGAGGAGGCCCAGAGACACGGGAACATTCTGTTCCAGTTTCTATACTGGCCTAGGGGACAGAGATAAGAACCGGGGTTTGGTACAGGAGAGTAGGGTGGCCTGCAAAGTGGGAGCCAAAATAAAGGGTGAAGCAGAGTGGTTGAGCAGGGGAGAGGAGAGGAGAGGGAGGGAAGATGGGGAGGAGGCATGGAAAGGAGGGGGCTGGGAAGGGAGAGGGTGGGGAAGGGGAATGGGTGGGAGAGGGAGGGAAGAAGAGGGGAAAAATAAAAAACAGACTTGAAGGCCTACATTAGGAAATATTCACTAGTTTATTTCACGAAACACTGTAATTCCATGTATATTTTTCATATATAGCTTCCTGTTAACTGCATGTCTATAAGACTATCACAGATATTAGTCTTACAACAATAAAGTTTATACTAGTACTGACAAAAATTAAGTAAATCCCATAATAGAGGATAACAAAACAAATTAACAGCAGTCAGGCTGAGTGACTATGATGCCCTATAAAATTACAAGGTTAATCAAGGGAATTAAAACCATGACTGTAATCATTTAAAAAGTGAGTCAGCCCAAAAGAATTGAAAACAGTTCTATTTAAATAACCAAAAGGTAGAAACAACCCAAATGTCTATCAACTGATGAACAAAAGTATTTCCACACAATGAAATACTACTCAGCCATAAAAAGAAATGAACTATTGCCTGGCCAGCTTAGCTCAGGGGTTGAACATCAACCAATAACCAGAAGGTCAAGGTTTGATTCCCGGTGTGGGGACTTGCCTGGATTGCAAGCTCAATTCCCAGGGGGAGCATGCAGGAGGCAACAGATCAATGATTCTCTCTCATCATTGATGTTTACTATCTGTCTCTCCTTCTCCCTTCCTCCCTGAAATAAATTTTTTAAAAACTATATATTAAAAAAAGGAAATGAAGTATTGATACTTGCTATAACATGAACTAATCTTGAAGACATTATGCAGAATGAAAGAAGCCACATCTCTAGACCAGTGATGGCGAACCTATGACACGTGTGTCAGAGGTGACACGCGAACTCATTTTTTTGGTTGATTTTTCTTTGTTAAATGGCATTTAAATATATAAAATAAATATCAAAAATATACATCTTTGTTTTACTATGGATGCAAATATCAAAAAATTTCTATATGTGACACGGCACCAGAGTTAAGTTAGGGTTTTTCAAAATGCTGACACGCCGAGTTCAAAAGGTTCGCCATCACTGCTCTAGATGGTTTCTGTTTAGTGTGAGCTCTGTTCTAAGTTACCTTAATGAAAAGATCACACACATAAAAAAAACTAATTCGCCGAAACTGGTTTGGCTCAGTGGATAGAGCGTCGGCCTGCGGACTGAGAGGTCCCGGGTTCGATTCCGGTCAAGGGCATGTACCTGGGTTGCGGGCACATCCCCAGTGGGAGATGTGCAGGAGGCAGCTGATCGATGTTTCTCTCTCATCGATGTTTCTAACTCTCTATCTCTCTCCCTTCCTCTCTGTAAAAAATCAATAAAATATATTTTTTTAAAAAAAAATAAATAAATAAATAAATAAAAAATAAAAAAACTAATTCAAGTTGGGTTCCTCTGCTCACCAAAGACCTGCAATGGCTCTGGATGCCTAGTATAGCCTCAGAAATAGCTTGGATTACAGATGTGGTAATAAACAGAAATAAAAAATAGTACTTTTTTTAAAATATTTTTTTTATAGATTTCAGAGAGGCAGGGAGAGGGAGAGATAGAAACATCAATGATGAGAGAGAATCATTGATTGGCTGCCTCCTACACATCCCCTACTGGAGATCAAGTCTACAACCTGAGCATGTGCCACGGACCAGAACTGAATCCGGGACCCTTCAGTCCACAGGCCATGCTCTAGCCACTGAGCCAAACCCGTTAGGGCATAAACTTTTTTTAATCCTCACACAAGGACATGCTTATTTATTTTAGAGAGAAGGACAAAGAGAGAGAAACATCGATATGAGAGAGAAATATTTATCAGTTGCCTTCCCAATCATGCCTTGACTAGGGATTGAACCCACCACCTTTCGGTGTACCGGACTACACTCCAACAAACTGAGCCACAACAGGCAAGGTTAAACATTTGTTGAGGTATGTTCTGATGAGTGAGTATATATGCCAACCACCCACTATCTTAAAGCATTTTATATAGATTAATTCAATCCTAATAATCTTATGAAATTTATATAGTTACTAGAGGCCCAGTGCACGAAATTCGTGCAAGAGTGGGCCTTCCTTTCCCCGGCTGCCAGCACTGGCAGGCACCCAGGACCTGGGCTTCCCTCACAGCCCCGGCTTTGTTGGGAAAGTTGTCCGGAAGGATGGTCTAATTAGCATATTATGCTTTTATTATTATAGAATATCCCCATTTTGCCTGGGTATTCACTACATCTGCATTATTTCACTTCTGTAACTAACAACCTAAAATGCCACCCTTCCTGCCTCCTATTATCCTGGAATGCATGAAGGAAGCACTGAGTTTCATAAAAACTAGATTGCTACTGTCAATATCTACCATCCAAGTAATTTCATAATTATCAGACTAAAATACTTTTTCCTACAACAAATTCCTCTTTCAACTTATCAGCTCTCTGTTAAAAAAAAGAAGAATTAACACACTCTTTGCAATAATAAGATCTTAAAGAAAAGGAATCAAAAGTAGTTGAACTTCCAGGGATGCTTTTAGGCAGCTCCTGACTAAAACAAAGAAGTGTTCCAGAAACATACCTGTTGGAGCCATCTTTCATATGAACTTTGGCATAAAGAACATCCACCATGCCAGGATCATCGTTCATGTATTCTATCCCTTCCATCTCTACTTCTAGGGGTTTGCCCCCAGAAATGTCGCTGCAAAGGAAAAACCATTAGATTTTTATAATTATTTATGTATTTTAAAACATGGTTAATATACATAGTCAAACTACAAAAATTAAGTTGTTGGTTTTTTTTACTAACATTATTTAACCATCCTTCTAATTTCAAAATTAATACATGTTTAATGCACACAGACTAGAAACACTAGTATTTCCAAAGTCACACTAAAAAGCACTCTAAGAAAAAGGCAAGCAATGATAGTTCTGATTGACAAAGACAACTGATGTGTTGACCATCTCTGAGGTTTTACATCATTATTTCTATAAGTTGCACAGTATTTCACTCATATAACAATGATGGAGTGTAAAAGCTAACAGCACATCTTTAAGTACAATTTGACAATATTTATAAAAAATCTTCAATAAAAGAAACCCTTTGCCCAGTCAACTCAATTTATAGGAACTAACCCTAATGAAATAATTATGAATTCAGCTACATATGCAATGATAGCTGATAAAGAACAGTTCTTTACAGAATTCCAACTGAAAAATGCAGAAGCAATGACGGAATTAGAGTATCACCATTTTGCAACTCCAGATAAAACAATGGATCTATGCAAGCTCACCAATGGATGCTAAAACTTAGACAAAAGGCTGGAAAAAATATAAAGAGACCCCTCTAAACAATGGATCAGGCTGATCACTCTCAAATTGACTGATCAAGCTTATCATACACACAGAAAGAAAAGGCCAAACAATATGTGTCTCCTGAGATGATGCAATAGGGTTTTGACTGATGCATTGTTTGGAGTAGCAAAAGACTGGCAACAGGCTAAATGTCCAATAACATAGGACTGATTACATAAATCAAAATGCTATGAGCAATAAATAAGCCATTCAAAGCTAGGGAAGCTTTTCAGGTACTGATACATAATGATTATATTTTAAGTTTTAAAAAAGGCGCTAGCTGGTTTGGTTCATTGGATAGAGCATCGGCCTGCAGACTGAAGGGTCCCAGGTTTGATTCCAGTCAAGGGCACATGCCTGGGTTATAGGCTCGATCCCCAGTAGGGGGTGTGCAGGAGGCAGCCAATCAATGATTCTATCTCATCATTGATGCTTCTATCTCTCTCTCTCTCCCCTCTCCCTTCCTCTCTGAAATCAATAAAAATATATATATTTTTAAAGTACACATCAATGTATATACTACTATTTATGAAAAAGATGGGAATAAGAAACTCTATACTAATAAAAGCATAATATGCTAATTAGACCAGACAGCTAAACTGGGAGTCGGACATCCCCTGAGGGGTCCTGGACTGGAGAGGGTGCAGGTCGGGCTGAGGGACACCCCCCCATGCACAAATTTTGTGCACCAGGCCGCTAGTATATATATACACACATATATTTCTTGTACATACGTAAAATCTCTGTAAATAAACAAAGACATTGCTAACATCTGTTGCCTTTAGAGAGTATAGCAGGGTGCTTGATGGGATAGCAATGGGAAGAAGTGGGCAGAAAACTCTTCAATGCTTATCCTCTGTACCTTTAAATTTTTGAACCATGTAAATGTACTCTCTATTAAAAAGTTAACATTTTTAAAAATATGCATAACAAGTCAAACACAGAAAGTTTATATACCAAACTAGCGGCCAGGTGCATGAAATTCATGCACAGGGGGTGGGTCCCTCAGCCCGACCTGCACCCTCTCCAATCTGGGAGCCCTCAGGAGAGCCCTCTCCAATGTGGGAGCCCTGACGGCTTAGGCCCACTCCCCATGGTTCTCTGCTCTCTGCGGGGCCTGGCCACTCCGCGCCCGCTGCCCAGAGGCTCTCCGCGGCCCAGAGGCCCTCTGCAGCCAGGGTGGAACACTTGCCTCATCGCCACGGTGACAAAGCAAGCATTCCACCAAGCTGCTCACACTTCCCGCTCTCAGCGGTCGCCCCCCGAGGACTGGGGTACTCTGGCGGGGCTGAGGGGACTGGGTGCCGCCATCTTGTGGCTATGGGAGCCACCATCTTTGTGACAGAGTGATGGTTAATTTGCATATTACCCTTTTATTAGATGGGATGATTCAATATATATGACATTAAAGGACAAGGCAGATTAACCTATGGTAATAGAAATCAGAATGGTAGTTACTCCTCAAATAAGTGAATTTACTGGAAAAGGATGAAGCACGAAGGAACTTCATGAGGTGATGGCAATGTTCTACATCTTGATTTGGGTGTGGTTACATTTGTCTTAACTCATTAAACTAACATGTATTACTTTCATGCTAAGTGAAGCCCACCACCCTGCTTTTTCCCCAGACCCTTAAGTAGACTTATACTTCAACCAGAGAAGGCCTTCCTGTGCCAGACTAAAACCCAACTAAAAATCAGCTCACCACACACAGCCTTCTCCAAGCCCAAGAGGCCAGGGACTCCATCCATCTTGTCCACTCCTATATCTCCAGCACCTGGCACAGTGCTTTACATAAAATAGGTACTCCATAAATCTCTGATAAACACTGACTGGATGTTCTACTATAAAGGGAGAAGCTGTTCTAGACAATTTTGAGAAGAATGTGGACACATGTGATATTATTATTGAATAAAATGTGGTACTGACTCAAAGACAAAAGGCTGCTAGGATGCACCAAAAGACAATTCCAAAAGGCAAAACAAAAAAGTTCTCTTGATACTTAATTAAAGCCATAAAACACTATTTGTAGTCTAGGAATCCCAATGGTAAAGATTCATTTAAAACTTCAAGGCCTTATTATTACATAAGACCAGAATTTATCTCAATAAGAAACTAAATAATTGAACTATTCTAGACAGATATTTGAAAGAGAAAAATGACAGCCTTGATCATAAGTATCCTATAAGTACCTCTAATACGTGGGATATTCCAGAAACACAAGCCAATCTCTGAACTATTCTCTGAGGCTTGTAGTTTCAATCAATAATCCAGTGTATCTCCATTCCAAGTAATAGTCAAAGAATTCAAATGAAAGACTGCCATTTAATCCTATCAAACTGCAGTCAACAAAACTTCTTTTTCTTAAAACAGTTTAATACTAACCATACATTCCTCTACATTTTTCAGCTTTAACCCTGCACAGTCAGATCACCAGAAAGCACCATATCTTTAGTTTAGTTTCCCACTAAAATGTCCTCACTAGGTTATTAATATTTAATACTAGAGGCCTGATGCATGAAATTCACGCACAGGTGAGGGGTCCCCTCAGCCCAGCTTGCACCCTCTCCAATCTGGGACCCCTCAGGGGATGTCCAACTCACAATCCAGGACTGCTGGCTCCTAACTGCTCACTTGCCTGATCACCCCTAACTGCCCCCCCACCAAACTGATCACCCCTAACCACCTTTGCCTGTCGGCCTGATCACCCCTAACTGCCCCTCCTGCCGGCCTGGTAGCCCCCAACTGCCCCCCTACCAGCCTGGTCACCCCTAACTGTCCCCCCTGCTGGCCTGGTCACCGCTTACTGCTCCCCTCCGCCGGCCTCGTCGCCCCTAACTGCCAACCCCTGCCGGCCTGGTCGCTCCTTACTGCCCCCTCCCTTGCCGGCCTGGTCACTCCTTACTGCCCCCTTCTGCTGGCCTGGTCACCCCCAATTGCCCCCCCCCCGCTGGCCTAGCCGCCCCCAACTTCCCCCTTCTGCTAGACTGGTTGCCCTTCACTGCCCCCCTGCCAGCCTGGGTGCCCCCAACTCCCCCCTGCTGTCTTGGTCACCCCCAACTGCCCCCCCCTACCGGCTGTTCGCCCCAACTGCCCCTCCTACCAGCCTGGTCGCCACACAGCCTGCTATTCAATCATTTCGTTGTCCCTCACTGCCCCCCTGCCAGCCTTGTTGCCCCTCACTGCCCCCCCCCCCCAGCCTGTTCACCCCCAAGTGCTCCCCTGCCATACTGGTCACCCCCAAATGCCCCCGCCGGCCTGGTCGCCCCCAACTGCCCCCCTGCTGACCTGGTCGCCCCACACAGCCTGCTTGTTCAGTCGTTTGGTCGTCCCTCACTAATGCCCCTGCCGGCATGGTCGCACCACGCAGCCTGCTGTTCAGTTGTTACTGTTACTGTGACAGCGTCCCGGACAATTTGCATATTCCTCTATTATTAGTATAGACTAGAGGCCTGGTGCATGAAATTCATGCATGGGTAGGGTCCCTATGCCTGGCCAGCAATTAGGGGCCTTCCTTTCAGCTGCTGGCCGCCGGCCAGGGCCTTCCTTGCCTGGCTGCAGGCTGCCAGATGGGGCCTTCCTTCGTTCCACACCACCCCCAGGTGGTCAGCGCATGTCATAGCAAGCAACTGAACTCCTGGTGGAACTCCCAAGGGGACACTTTTCATATTAGCCTTTTATATAAGAAGATTATATCCTCAACTTCTAAAGGTCAATACAAGAAAAAGCAATGTGAACAATGTTCTTATATCTTCTGGAAAACTGTTAAAAATAATGCTTATCATCATTCTGGGTTATTTATGTTAAGATTTATGCAACTAGTTTTTCTCTTGACTTTAGAACCAGAAAAAAATTCTCTCCTAAAAAGTTGCTATGCTCCTTTTTATCAGATAAAAACTATAGCCCTAGCAGGTTTGGCTCAGTGGATAGAGCATTGGCCTGCAGACTGAAGGTTCCTGGATTAGATTGCAGTCAAGGGCATGTGCAGTTGGTTACAGGCTTCTCCCAGGCCTGGGCCCTGGTCAGGGCATGTGCAGGAGGCAACTGATAGATGTGTTTCTCTCACATCAATATTTCTCTCTGTCTTTCCTCCTCTCTTCCACTCTCTATAAAAATCAATGGAAAAATATCCTCGTGTGAGGATTAAAAAAAAAAAAAAAAAGAACTATAATAACTGCTGTGTTTCTTTCTGGAATTTAGTTCAAGTATACTGGTGCTCAAAAACAGCATTAAATTTTAATGCTCAAGTACAATTATCTTACCTTGGTTTTCAGATAGAATTTTCTCCCCGTTCCACCTCTATGGTTTCTGAGCTCTCTGACTTTAACATTTCTTTTGTATATATGTCCTCCCAAGAACAAAAACAAAAAAAAAGTGAAACAGGATCTACAGCCTGCCTTATGAGTAGAAACTGAAACTCTTTCAACCTATCCCTAGGATTTATCAAGAGGGAGATTAAAGAACAGAAGAGAAATCCAATGGTTTGCCTGATAAATGCTCTTGGTCTTGGTGACCAAACTATTCCACCTGGAATACCAGTGAGCACATTTTTCATTTCAGTGACATCTGAGGCAATAATTAGGAACTAACATTTGCCCATGGGTATTTTTCCTCCTCTTCTCTCCTCATTCTTGTCCCTTTTTAACTTATTTGGTTTAACCTCAGGCCTACTGGGAACACTTAGGAACAAGTAGAGTGACGCTGGAGCTACAGAATGCTGCCTATTTGTTGGACTATATACTCAGAGCCATTGCACTGTTTGCGCTCTATATGTCACAAAGAAAAGTCACAAGGGACACATTCAGAGCTTCAGTGTTTCCTGGACACTGTAAATAATTCACTGTGAATAATTCTAAATAGCTACACGAATCTTTAGCCTAACAATTGAAATCAAAGTTGTTTCTCATCAGGTAGCATCCTTAAACTCAAACTACCACCAAATTTAAAACAAATATTCAACCATCCATTTCTTTAAAATACCTATATAGTACCACAGTTTTAATTAAATTCCAATATAACCATATATATTTAATACTTTAATTTTAAAAGCCATCAAATTAAACTACAGCAAATTATACACTGATCTATTCATTTTCAATGTTTTTATTTTTTATATTTTAATTTGAGATCTCTACATCATAAAAAGTTCAGCTTAGAAATGTCATTGTTTACTAAAGTATAAAGGCTAACATCAAAGAGCAAAAATAAAGAAAAAAAAAGGTTAGATGATACATTTTATTTACTAGGCCTGTAATATAACCTTTTTTTTAAAGAGATATTTCTTCCTTTTATGAGAACAAAGCACTTCTAACCAATCCAAACAACCAATTCTGATTCTCGTCCTCCTTTTCAGAAATAAATTAATTTTGCATTGTATACTTTCTAAACAAGTGTGTATGGCAGAGGGAACCATGGGGGAGAAGAGGGTCGGAGAGGCTTGTTTTACTTGCTGATTTCAAATCTTTCCAGCTTCTTGAAAAGAGCATGTTCAAAATTTTTTGCCTGCATTGCAGATTTTTGGCAGGGTAACTTTGTCCTATTTCAAAAGCGTTGCTGAATTTGAAAAACTACAATTACTGTTTTCATCCTGTCATGTCAAAAATTCTTAGGAACTATTAAGGCTGATCTTCATTACCTATGCACATCAACCCCAACATGCTTAAAGGGCTTAGATTTGGCCTTTAGTCACAAAAGGCAGCAAGAGACATAAAAAGAGGAACTCAGCTAAATCCTCACATAGCTCAGGATAAAACCTCAGTGATTAAAAAACCTGTGACCCCATTTTTTTTCATTTAAGAAGAAAGTCTATTTAATGAGTGTTTGGTGTCTTGTGGAAACTCCAGGATTCTGAGACAATCAGATTCAGTGCCATATAATCAGGAACAATAGGCAAAAAGTAAAAAATTGGTTCAGTGAGGAAAACACAGCTGCTGCAATATCTTAATCTGCTCAGTCTGTCATCAAAATACCAGACACTTGGTGGCTGAAACAACAGACATTTACTCTCACAGATATGGAGGCTGGGAAGTCAAGATAAAGGTTCTGCCGATTTGGTGAGAATTCTCTGGATTGCAGATGGCTACATTCTCACACATGGTGAAGTGATTTTTCATAAGGTTAAAAAAATACTTCTCTAAACAAATATTTTATCCATCTTAAAATAACTTTTACAGGATTCTTCCAATGGTAGCCAAGAAAATGCAGCTGCTTTCAGTTTTGTTTAGCAAAAAGAAACCAGGGGATAAGTTAAGGTGTCAGAACGCATTCTTAAACCAGGTAAAATTGCTCTGCTTTGTAAGGTAAAGCATCAAGTTTTCTTTTTTTGCAAGGAAAGTTATAAATACCTAAATACAAACACCAAATTATTCTGAGTTTCAGGTAAGATTGAGAAAAGACAGTTATGTTCCTTACTGAACAAACAAGACAAAGGTATTATTTGCTATATGAGATTCAGAAAGAATAAACAGACTGTAAACCCAATCAGCTTAGGATTTTGCTCAAAAACAGTATTTGTCTTCAAAACAATGGAAAAGGAGAAGAGGCCCACAAATTAAGTCATTGTATTAAACAGTTTTATATACAACATAACTAGAGGAAAATTTTTAATTTTTTTACCTTGTTTCACCCCATGAACCAGATAATCCATTTCTTAAGGCAATGGTACAATAGTATGGGACCTAAATATTGTCACAAATTTTTTTTTTATTGTCACAAATTTTTAAAAACTATTCAAGTGAGCCAGTTTTGTTCCTTTCTTTTTTTTTAAATCCTCACCCAAGGGGGGCTTGGGGGGAGAGAGAGGGAGGGAGAGAGAGAGGGAGAGAGGGAGAGAGGGAGGGAGGGAGGGAGGGAGAGAGAGAGAGAGAGAGAGAGAGAGAGAGAGAGAGAGAGAGAGAGAGAGAGACAGACAGACAGACATGGATCGGTTGCCTTCCTCAATGCTCAACCAACTGAGCCATTCTGGCCAGGCTCAAGTGAGTCAGTTTTCAAATTTCTCTTGTTCTTCATCAATCCTAAGTAAAAGGAGTAAAGTGAGAGGTGGGAAGAGATGCTTCTTTGAAATAAAGCTAATGTGGGTTTTACTGGGCTAAAATCAAGGTGCGGCAGGGTTGTGTTCCTTGGGTTGATGTATGTGTAAATTAAAATTTTACAGTAAAAAGAATAACAACTCTCCAATGTTTTCTCTGAGCCAAAAACATTTGCTTGGATGGTCTTTTAGTATCCTCACACTGAATTACACAAAATTACCTGTATTAAAAAAAGAAAATTAAAGTCTGCATTTCTGAAATACAATGAAGACTTTCCTAGAGAATCAAGTTATAGCAGTGATGGCGAACCTTTTGAGCTCAGCGTGTCAGCATTTTGAAAAACCCTAACTTAACTCTGGTGCCGTGTCACATATAGAAATTTTTTGATATTTGCAACCATAGTAAAACAAAGATTTATATTTTTGATATTTATTTTATATATTTAAATGCCATTTAACAAAGAAAAATCAACCAAAAAATGAGTTCGCGTGTCACCTCTGACACACATGTCATAGGTTCACCATCACTGAGTTATAGTGTTGAATTACCATGGGAAGCAGAATAATGGCTCTCCAAAGATGCCCACATCCTACTATCTGGAATCTGTAAATTCGCTGTCTTATATGGCAGAGACTTTGACAGATGTGATTTAGGTTCTGGAGTTTGAGATGGAGCGATTATCCTGGATTATCTGGATGGACTCAATCAAATCATGAGAGTCCTTACAAGCAGAAGCCTTTGCCTGCTGTGGCCAGAGAGAGGTGTGACAACAGAAGGGTCAGAGAGATACAACGTTGCTAGTGTTGAATACGGAGGAAGGGACTACTAGCCAAGGAATGTGTGTGGCCGCTAGAAGCTGGACTTGAAAGGCAAGGAAACAGATTCTTCCCTAGAGCCTCCAGAAAGGAACACAACCCTGCACACCTTGATTTTAGCCCAGTAAAGCCCATCTCAGACTTCTCCCCACAGAACTATATAGTACATTTATATTGTTTTAAGCCACCAACCTTATAGTAATGCAGAAAACTAACATAGTAGTCTATACTCTTTGATGGATAATGAAGAGAATTTCCTTTTGGAGAAAATAATGGCATGTCCTATTAAAAAAACAAAATTTGCCTACTGAACGAGTATAATTTAAGGTAAAGGTTTTCCATAAAAATTTGTAAATATATGCTTTAAGTACATTTTAAACCTTTCAGACAACGGTTCAATGTGTAGTGTTACAAAAGGGTGAGTCAACAAACCTCATTCCCATGTAACCCAGCTCTCTACTCCAAAAACAAGTCTTTGATAGCCCAAAAAACTCAGTACAGGTGACCACCCTTCCCCACACCTATGGATTACTCACTCAATGAATTCCTCTTTACACTGCTTTAGCATCTCACATGTCTGCTGGATCTCTTGCTCACTTAAAAGTACCAACATCCCAATAGTTAGGTGAAGTTTTTTGGGATTCTGGAAAATGGTGCTATCAACTCCATGATCCTGTTATAAAAGGGAGAAAAACAAGAAACTCAGCCCATACAAAAGCAAGTGGTAGGAATAAAATTTAGAGTCCAGACATAAACCCACACATTTATATATAATTAACTAATTTTAACCAAGATGCCAAGACAATTTAATAGAGAAAGGAGAGTCTCTTCAACAAATGATGCTGGGACAATGATTGAATTTGTACACTTAAGATGGGTGTATTTTTGTGGTATGTAAACTATACCCCAACAAAGCTGTTAAACATAAATATGTGTGTGCATCCTTTTCTTTTTAAGAGCATCCAAGCAATCCTGAAGCAAGTTGTTACCTATAACTCAACCTGCTGAGAGCTATTCATGGAATAGTTTAAGAGTGGTCACCTCTTCAAATACCACATGATTTCACTTACATGTGGAATCTAAGGAGCAACATAAATAAACAAACAAAACAGAAACAGACTTACAGATACAGAGAACAGACTGATGGTTGCCAGAGGGGTGTGGGGTTAGGGAATGGGTGAAAAAGGTGAATGGATTAAGAAGTACAAATTGGTAATTACAGAAGAGTCATGGGGGTGTTAAATACAGCATAGGGAATATAGTAAATAATATTATAATAATTATGTGAGGTGCCAGGTGAGTACTTGAAATATCAGGGACCTACTTTGTAAATTATTAATATATACTTGTTTAACCACTATGCTGTACACCTGAAACTAATATAAAATAATATGGAATGTAAACAGTAATTGAAAAATAAAACTTTTGCCCTAACCGGTTTGGCTCAGTGGATAGAGTGTCGGCCTGCAGACTGAAGGGTCCCAGGTTCGATTCTGGTCAAGGGCATGTACCTTGGTTGAGGACACATCCCCAGTGAGGGGTGTGCAGGACGCATCTGATCAATGTTTCTCTCTCATCCATGTTTCTAACTCTCTATCCCTTTCCCTTCCTCTCTCTAAAAAAAAAATAATCAATGGAATATATTTAAAAAAAAAAAAAGAAAAGAAAAAATAAAACTTTTTAAAAAGTGCTAACTGGTTTGGTTCCGTGTATAGAGCGTCAGCCTGTGGACTGAAAGGTCCTGGGTTTGATTCCCGTCAAGGGCACATGCCCAAGTTGCGGGCTCAACCCCCAGTAGGGGGCGTGCAGAGGCAGCCAATAAATGATTCTCATCATTGATGTTTCTCTCTCCCACTCTCTTCCTCTCTGAAATCAATAAAAATATATTTTAAAAAATATATTCTCTCTTAAAAAATAAAAATAATTTTAAAAAGATCTCACCAAAAACCAACACAGACAGTACCTTGACCTTGACTTCTAACCTCCAGAACTGTGAGAAAATAAATCTGTTGTTTAAGCCACTTGGTCTATGGTATTCTGTTATAGCAACCCAAGTTGTCTAATACACCAGCAATCCTACTGCTGGGGATTTATCCTGAAGATATATTTTCAATAATGTAAAATACATGTGCACAAGGTTAATGAATGGAGCATTATTGGAAAATAAATGTCCTCAAGTATAGAAGATTGGTTGAAAACCATGTATAAACACATGTATAGCCGAAACCGGTTTGGCTCAGTGGATAGAGCGTCGGCCTGCGGACTGAAAGGTCCCAGGTTCGATTCCGGTCAAGGGCATGTACCTGGGTTGCGGGCATATCCCCGGTGGGGGATGTGCAGGAGGCGGCTGGTCGATGTTTCTCTCTCATCGATGTTTCTGACTCTCTATCTCTCTCCCTTCCTCTCTGTGAAAAATCAATAAAATATATTTAAAAAAAAAACAAAACAAAAAAACAAACAAACAAAAAAAAACACATGCATAAACTGGTATGAAGTGATTTTTCCAGGACACAATAAATGAAAAAAAATCACAGTGCAGAAGAGCATATAGTTTGTTAACATCTGTATAAAAGAAGGGAAATAAGAAAACACACACAACCTACTATCTTTACAAAAAGGAACACAGGACAAACAAACCAAAAAGCAACGAAGTTGGTTCCCTATAAATGACGAGAGCAGGGAGGAAGGGACTCAGGAATGTGCTACACTTCTTCAGAATACGCCCTTTTGTATAGTTACTTTTGGAAGCATGTTGATACCCTACATATTCAAAATAAAATTAAACTAGGATGCGGGGGGGGGGGGGGGACTAAATGTTAAAAGTAAACTAAAAATGAACCCACCTGCATTTCAAATGAATACCAAACCCACACTAGAGGGGGTTTAAAAAAGAAAAACTAATCTGAGTAACTTTTGAACACAAAATGTTACTAAATATCTCAGTTGAGGGTTGTCGTTGTGTTGTTGTTGTTGTTTTTTTTTGGGGGGGGGGTGTAAACAAATCCTGAATTCTGTTTAGTAGGTTTCTTTCTTACAGATGTATGCACAAAGCAAATCAGAACTATTTTAGATGTATTCTAGGATTAAGCAAATGTGCAAAGAGGGACATAAAAATATGGAATGCAGAGGGAAAGAAAGAACCCTGTAGGGATGGAGGGCAATCAATGATCTTTGTGAACTCTTGATTTCTAAAATAGATACCGTTGGTTCTCTGTATCCACGGTGTCACAACCGCAGATTCAATCAACTGCAGACCAAAATTATTTGGGGGGAAATTTTTCAGAAAGTTCCAAAAATCAAAACTTGAATTTGTCACATGCCAAGGACTAGGCTGACTCCACACAAATGAAGTGATGTGTAGACATACCCTGCTGTAGCCTGTATGCATACAGGTTACATGCTAATTCTATGCCAATTTATATAAGGGACTAGGGATTTTGGTATCTGCAGGGGGTCCTGCGGATATAGAGGGACAACTGTGTATGCACAAACATGTAAGTGTGTATATATGTGTATGTGTACATACATACATTTTCTAGCTCTGTCCACAGAAAAGGGTTACATATAAATTATATAATCTCTAATACAAAGACTGAATTCTTAAGACTCGGATTCCCCAAAAGACTACAGATTATGTGGCTTTTAGATATCCCATCTATTCCTTTTCCTGCTCTTTTGTGTTGTTTTGTTGTGCAGTATTGCAAGTGAACTCAAGTTGACTAAAGTGGTAGGCTCCCAAAGGGTAAGGTAAGGAAAGAAAAGTTCTAGAGGTTCCTTTTTTTAGGTAGTAAGATAATAAATCTGTGTAGTTTTAAACCACAAAGTTTGTGGTCATTTGTTATAATAGCAATAATATACTTATAATTTTAAACTCACAAAAAAGATGTAAGACTAAAAATAGTATCCTTTATTCATATTTGCCTATTGTCAAAATTTTACACTATTTTTTTTATCATTTTCGTTCTCTTTTTCCCTTTTTTTCTAGACTACTTTAAATTGCATTGTGTATGTATGGCCCTTTACCTCTAAATACTTCAATATATATTTCCTACAAAACCATAGTTTTTAAAAACATAACAGCCATATAATTTTAATCTTCAATAGATTTAACATTGATAGTTTTAGCTATGATTTGCCATCCACATCCTAATTTTGTCAATCACAGCACTTTTTCCCTTCTAATACGGGATCCAGTCTAGGATCAGGCTTTGTAGTTAGCTGTTAAGTCTCTGCAGTCTCCTTGGATCTGGAACATTTCCACAGCTTTTGTCTTTCTTGACATTGACGTTGTTTTTAAAAAAATAGACTACTTCTTTAATAATAATAAACTTAAAAAAAATAGAATATGCTTTTAGGGTCTGTCGGATGTGTCCTCATGAGTAGACTCAAGTTATACATTTCTGGCTAAAAATGCCGTCTACTAAGGAAAACTTTTCTCTTACTGAATTATCTAAAATTAATGCAGAACCAAACAATCTTCAAGGCAATGGCATAAATCCCTAGAGCCACTATTTTTATTTATTTATTTTTTTGCTTGGAATATATCATATTTCCACGCACATTCTTCTTTGAAATGAATAAAGACCAACATCAAATTTTTACTCCAGAGACTTGGTCACACTGGGCCCTCCTCCAAGTTCACCATTACTTGGAGCTGGAACTATTTTACTCCATTAGGTTAGCCAACCAGGCTGGCGCCTGAAAATTCTTTTTTTTTTAATTTTTATTTATTGATTGATTTTACAGAGAGGAAGGAAGAGGGATAGAGAGTTAGAAACATCGACCAGCTGCCTCCAGCATGCCCCCTACTGGGGATCGAGCCTGCAACCAAGGTACATGCCCTTGACCACAATCAAACCTGGGACCCTTCAGTCCACAGGCCAACGCTCTATCCACTGCGCCAAACTGGTTAGGGCTGGCGCCTGAAAATTCTAATGGTGGTTACCTTCCACAAGGCAAGGAGAAGCAAAGAGTAAAGTAACAGGAATTCCCTGGGGCAGTTTTATCTGGGGGGGTGGGGGGGGGGAGTGTTTCTTTATGGTTATGTCAAATCAGTAAGCCTCAGTTTCTTTATTTGTTAAATAAGGTTTCATCCAAGGAAAAAAGGCATGCAAAAGCTACCTCCATAGAAAGCATATGTGCAGGCCTATGCCACAGTTCAGAGTTCAAAATCCTGTCCTAACTCAGCAGTCCCAGGTGCAAAACCTTAACTCTCTCATTCAAACTGCAGTTCGTGAAAATAATAATAATAAATAAATTTGGGGGGGGAAAACACAAAACTGCAGCTTTGTGATTTACCACTAGCAATCACCACATTATTGCTGGCCCTTCATTGATTTCACTTCTAATCCAGCACTCAGGCTCCCATGGGGCAGAACTGCCGGCAATGCTATCAGCATGAACAATTAACAAGGTACAACGAAATCTAAAAATGTGAAGTTTGGAAAAAGGCCAGTAAGAGAGAAGTATAGATTAGCCCACCATGGAACATTCTCTCTGCTTCTTTAATGCCTGGGTTAAAATTCAGCCATCCTTTCCACACAAATGGAATAAAATGCAGGTGCATCTGCCAGAGCTGTCAGCGAACAAAAGGGAAGCCTCTCTTCAGACTCAGACCCCAAAGATCATGATCCAGTACACGAGTTAAGAAAGGAATACTAAGGCACTGGCTGT